AGGAATGCCAAAGCGCGAGGTCCTGATGAAGAGTCCTCTGGGTGGCTGTCTGAGGACGAGCCCTGGCCTCGCAGAGGGAGAACTCTCGTGCCTTTCACTGACTGTTCCCCTCTGCCCCTTTGTTTGCAGGAGAAACGCATTGCTTCCTTGGACGCTGCCAACGCACGGTTAATGAGTGCCCTTACTCAGCTGAAAGAGAGGTACAGCATGCAGACACGTAATGGGATCTCCCCCACAAACCCAACTAAATTGCAGATTACAGAGAATGGAGAATTCAGAAACAGCAGTAATTGTTAACGCGCGGAGGGCGCTGCCGCAGGAGAGGAGGCCTGGCCAGAGAGACGGTGCAGCAGCAGGTGGGAGCCGCGGCTTCAGAGAACGGCTTCCCCCCAGAGAACCCAGCTCCTTACTGCGGACGGCGCGCTTGACTGAGCCTTTGTGGGAGATGCTCATGCCAGCACGTTGAGGGGACGGAAAGCTCGAGTGTGAGATGAGATGAGTGGCATAAGGAAATAACATATATTTGAGAATCGCTGTCACTGTTTGGATTTAAATCAGTGTTTAATGTTTAAACAAAAGTAACCTTTTTCCTTCTAAAACTGCCCAAAGGATATGCCTCACCCCTCCCAGCAAGGAATCACGTCCTTGTCGTTGCAGTGAGCGAAGTGAAGGGAGCTGGGCAGAGCCCAGTTGCAGTGTGCTGCTGGATGTGGCCGTACAAGGGCTGGCAGCCAGGCTGGGCCCCGGACCCCCCCCGGAGCACAGCCCCCTCCCAAAGCAAACCCCGAGCCCAGCCCAGCCGTCTTCCCTCCTGTGGCTTTTGTGAGGCCACTGACTTCTACAGCGGGGAACTGTCCACTGGGCATTTACACAGCTAATTAGTGTTTAATTAACCCCGCCCATGGAGGGAGCACAGTCCAGATGGAAGGTCAGGGCACACTCTGTGCGAGGCAGGAACCAAAGGGGAGCTGCAGGGCAGCGGAGCAGGGCGTGACTGGTGCTGCCGGGGCTCCTGGGGTCCCCGGGTAGCCCGGGGGAGCAGAGCCAGCCCAGGGAGGAGCTGGCACCTGGTGAATGGCGACTCAATTCCTCTCTCCAGCTTCTGCTCCCCCACAAGTAATGGGGAAGAGCCTTTGTAAGCAGTAGCCCCAGGGCACTGTCCCCCCACACGCAGAATAAAGGCAATGTGACCTGTGCTTGGTCCCCGAGCGGTGAATGAGGGACAGGGGCTGAATTTCCTGGTGCCCGTTGTGCTAGAGGGGGCGTGAGGGGCTACGTGAAATGGCCAGCTCCTTGCCTGACAAAGGGTTCCTTATGGGGATGTAATGCTCTGGGCAAAGATTTTTTACTATTTCTGGGGAGAAAAACAGACAAAGAAACAAGAAAAAGGCCTGAAGAACCATGAAGATCGGTAATTGTATTTCTTTTCTTTCACAGTATGCATTAGAAAAAAAAAGATCCCATTTTCTGGAATACTGTCCTCTTTAAATTGGGAATGAGCACTGCATGGAAATTAACCGGCTCGAAGAATGTAAAACATGGTCATAAGGGAGTAACCACCAAGAACAGCAGCTACCACCGAAAGGCCCCTTGTCAGGAGCACTGTGCAGGCATAAGCCAGGATTAGACTTTCCTAACTGCCGAAACACGCAGAGCCGGCACATTCAGACACGTTGTGCTCAGCGGAGGGGTCACCCCCTTAACGGGGGGTTGTGCCGCTGACCTGCCGCCACGGTGTGTTTGTTGGTTTGTGGTTTTTTGGTTTGTTTTGGTTTTTTTAAGTTAGTACTTCATGACTCCCAGTCTCAGAGCAGGTCACTCGTACCAAGAGCCAGAGAGCTTTCTCTGAGATATGGATGACAGTGTACAGTGTACAGGACATCTGTTCCTCCCACTAAAGTTTAAGACCCTGCTCAACGCCTGTCCTAGCTCCTCCTGCCATGTGTAATGTACAGAGGGACTAGGAAGTCGCAGCCTAGGTACCGTCTCCAGCCTCACACTGCCCAGGCTGCCTGAGCAGGACACGTTGCCAGTAAGCTCTGCTTTGCCGTGCTGCCCCACAGCCATACGGCTCGTTAACAGCATCTTCCACATGCAATTGTTTTCACAATTAAAGATGCCTTTTTCTTCTTTTTTTTTCCCCTCCCCTAAACTTTTTGTGTTCCTGGAAGCCCTGGGCCAAGCCGGGTGCGGCTGGGTCCTTGGAGGAGCGAACGTGTTGCACTGAGGTCTCCACGCCCCGCCAACGCCTGCAGAGTGGTGCGGTTGCACAGCAGACCCCAGACGGAGCTCCTCAGAGAAAAGTAATAACTTAAGTATTTATGACAAGTTACAATCACCTTTGAATTTTGGAGACTTAGCACAGATGATGGCTTGGAAGAACCTGACAAAACTGACAAGGTTACAACTGGAGAAAGACCCAGACAGGTTAGGAGTACACAGGGTGCTGTGAACCGTTGGGTACGTACACTGACATCTGCCATTGTCTCAGTCACACCCATTGTAAGAACCCTGCAACAAGACTCTCTCAATCCGCTGTTGCCCTGAGATGTACGTTTAGAGCTGATTGTTTTTGAGTTACAAAATACTTGTGTGGCAAGAGACAAGTTTTTCAAGAGAGAAGTAACATAGAGGAATGGAAACGCTAACAGGGCCCGGGGGCGGGTGCCCCACCAGCAACGTGTTTCCATTCATACGTGGAAGTAATTCTGGGATGCAGTCAGTGCTCTCCGTAAGAGCCGGAAAAAAAAGAAACACCCACAAAACAGTTGTTTAGTACTGAAGCTAAGCACAGTACATCCCAATCTTCTCCTCAACCACAAGCCAAGGCACTGCTCCCCCCACCCTGAGCTGTCAGAAACTCCTGGTTAACCTCAAACTTGCAAATTACTGAACACACATTGTTCTGCTGAAATAGCAGGAACGCTTAAATCCTTCCACTGCGAGATATTAAAACCTTAGAAGTTCCAGTACCGACACCTCCTGGAGTTGTTGCTTAGTTTCCTGAGCCAGTATGAAAAGAAATTCAAATCAGGACAAAATCCAGTAGAGATTTCCCCTCCCTCCCAATCTCCTTCCCCTGCAACTGTCAACAACTGGACCTAAACGTGACCCTCCCCTAAAAAGCTCTGGGGGTAGGTTGTGAGATCCAGGCTCAGTTCAGTTCTGTTACTTCAGTTTGTGTTTCTGTTATTTATAAACTGTACATTGATATGTGTGTGTGTGTGTGTGTGTGTGTGTGTGTGTGTGAGGGAGCCAGCCAGAGCGTGCCAGGTCCCCCGCGGTGGCCTCGGCCCCGGTGCCTGGCGTAGCAATACCGGAGGCGATCCCAGGAGGTGCTGGGAGCACCAGACCAAGGCGACCACTGTCCATCATGTTTTGTGAGCGGCTCCGTTTTCCTTTTCCATTCTTGCGCTTTCTACAGTAAGAGGCTGTTGTAGTGCAAACTCGTCAAAGTGTAAACAAAATGAAGACACACTCAGATTTTTATCTTAATACAAGTCTTAATATTTTTTTGTAAATGTTTTCAGTGTTTACTGTACCGTATCTATCTCACTAACGAACGGTTGTATATAGTAACTGACTTCTGGTGCTGCTTATTCGGTCAGGATTGGACTGTATCTCACTGCTGTTCTCCAGAGGTGGACTCAAACTAGCAAATCTGGATCCAGACCCAGGGTATGATTTCAGCCTCTCCCTTTGGGGATCTGAAGGAAGGGGAAAGGAGAGAAGCCAGGGATCCCAATTTGGGGTTAGTCCGCCTCAGTGATTCTGTTTTAAGAGTTTTGATTTGGGGTTTTGTTAAACTGTAGTGAACATTTCTGGAAAACAAGCGAAGGTTTGTGTGAAGGGGGATGAAATGGACTGACCAGCATCCCAAGGCCTCTGCGGACTGTAAGTATCATCGTTTGGACAGGAATTACAGCATCAGTGCCAAAAGATTGGAGGGAGCAAGTCCTTCCCCATGCCAGCTCATACTACAGTGTAGTCACCAGCCCCTTTTGCACCAGTTTAAGCAAATCCTGCCGCCATCCAAAGAGTCCTGTGCCACTCTGCATTGTCATTTGAGTCTGGTTGGTTTTGTTTTCTGCTTTCGCAGTTGTAAAGCACTGTGATTGCACTGTGAGAACACGCGGCATCCTCTGGCCTGGCCGACAGCCCTGTAGGTTGCTGCAGGGTGCAGGGCACAAGTTCTGCTACTACAGATATTCCTAAAGGGAGAAGGGACTTGGTGGAGCTGAGCGAGGCGTCACAGGCTCTCCTAGGAAAGCAATCAGCAAGTCATCAGGTCATTTCCAAAGCGTAGAGCACTCACAGGCTTTCCCTGTTACTAATGTCCATACCCAGATGCAATGGAAAACATGAGGTCTGTTCTCTGATGAACAAGGAGAGGGTTTTCAGTCACAAGAGATGGAAAACACACCGATGGGTTTGGCCAGGACAGGCACACGGTGTGGCTCGTAGATCTGATCTGCAAGGGGCTCATTTCCCCCAGCAAACCCAGGGCTGGGGTAGCAGCCCCTGGGAGATGCTGTTCCGACAGCAGCACCTACACCCAGCCATGTCCAGCAGCTCCACCGAGGTCACTGCCCTGTCCCAAACACGTAGCTTTGCCTGGAGAACAGGAAGCAGAACATCCAAAGGGAACAAGCGTGATGGGCTCCTGTGCTGCCCTCCGTCCTTCCCACCCCGCTGACTGTTGGCATCAGCCTCTTCCCCAGGGGTTTGCATTCAGAGCAACCCAGGCCCCCAGCCCAGTCCATACTGGGACCTGATGTGGTCAGAGTGCATGGCCTCATGGTCGCCAGGAGATCCCGTAACTGGCCCCAGGAAGGGCACTGCCCATCTCCAGGTAGGTCTCTGACTCTTCAGGGCAATTTCAGAGGAGACCCTGTGGCCACAGGCTGTACCTGTGGCACCTGCCCTGCTCTGAGAGCCACCAAGCCCTGCACCGACCCTGCACAGAGAACTTGCCTTTTTCTTTTCCCTTGCGGAAAACTCCACATGGGGGGAGCGGGAGGACGACAGCAGCATGCTGACATGAAGTTCATCAGCTTTACAAACCAAATCCCACCTTGAGGACGTTGCACAACATTCAGAAACAACCCTGCTTTGAAAAAGGCTGCCGTGTCCCAGCATTGACGTTCACAGACCCCCCGAGCTGTGACGTTGCTGTAAATGCCACGTGGTTCTGCATCAGCTACCGCTACCCCAGCGTGCAGTCTCCATCTTCACATCTTCCTTTCTCATATATCACTGTGTCTCAAGATATACCTCTCTCTGTATATCTGCTTAGGCTGATACTTGTTCCTGATAAGCAGTCGTTATGTTTTATATCCTCTTATAAAGAAAAAAAAATCTTTTTTTGTAAGTATGTTTAAAAAAAAAACAACAAAAAAAAGCAAAGTGGAAGTGTTTGCTGAATCTCCTTCAGCTCCTTTTAAACT